ATCGAAGTAAACGTTTTATAACGCCTAAATAGTTTTCATACTTATAAGCACTAAAGCTTTCAACAGGACCAAGACGAGCACATTCTTCAGGAAAGTGGTGAAAACAATGAATATAAAAGGCTATGAAATGTTCTCCGAACATTCTTCCTGCATGAGTAATAAATTCCTGTACAAGAAAATTAGCAACATCATTCATTTCAAGGTACAGTTCAGGACTGGACAAAAAAAACGATGCTGCATGTAGCAGCTGGTAATTTCTATAAAAATTTCCAGGCAAATGCTGTAAAACAAGAAGTCCATCATACAAAAAGAGTCTTCTCATCTCTGTTGCTCTGTACTTAGCACGGTAATGTAGTGGTCTTGGCCTTCTGTTAAAATCAGTAGGAATATAAGGGGCTAATTGTATAATAGTGTTCGACATTAATTGTCTGACAGCTCCACCCACCACACCTGATCTTCTAATTCTAGTCTTCTTTGTTCCTAGTACAAAATCCAGCCACCTTTTAAAAACACCTTCGTGGAGCAAATGTAATCCATCATACACAAATTGTGACACCATTTGGGTACCAAGATCCTCCAGGGGAGACACACCTGCATGATGGTTTGTGTGTTCTCTGTTTGCAAATGACTCATCCATACGCCTTACTTCATTGAAATCATTGAATGTTAATACTTTCACTCGCTTGACACTACGAACTGTACAGCGTTCACACCCATTTTTACTGTAATGACCCACAGTACATTTAACCAGCGGCCTAGCAGGTGCATCACAAATGTAATGCCGTACTCGAAATGGATAAACGATACCATAGATGTTGATACCATTTTGTTGAAGAACTCTTAGTTCGTTGACAAGATCATGCAGGAATTCATTTATATCATTTGGTTTATCTTTACCAATAAAAACAGCCACAATGAATGGTTCTTTTTGTCCATCCAAACACCCTATTTTAGGCCAACAGTCTACATCGGAATGTTTAAATGGTGGCAGGCCATCCATGCTAAGGTCAATTACAATCTCATTTCTTTCTCTTAAGTATTCAGCTGATACTCGTTGTGAAATATTCTTTTTCACACCTTTATACCAAATCTCCCCACCAGCAGCTTGGTAAATCTTAGTGTGCCTTAGAGTCTCTAATAATGTTTTGTAACTTTTCGGTAAGTTAGGGTACAATGGTCCCAATATTTTCAACAGTTGTTTAATTTTTTTAGTACTGACACCATACTGAGCCCACATTTTAAGCTCTTGCAACACATATTCGGCTCTGTCCTCATCATTATAAAATTCAATTTGTTGCTCTGGAACAAAGACCTCTTCATACGCATCACCCTCCACATCCATCATACCAATGTTCGCTTCACCTTCATTATCACTCATTTCATTTTGTTCTTCTCCTGATGAGGATGAACTACTACTACTGTGGGTATCACTTCTACTGCTGTTACTGTTGCTGCTGTCGCTAGCACTATCGTTGCTGGTAGTACCATCACCATCATACAGCTGCTGTTGTAAACCAGCCAACTGGAGTCGTTGTTGAACTTGGCGTCTGATTGCAAACCCTGGCAAAGGCCCCTAACATGTTGCAAGAAGAAAATCAAAAGGAAAAGTTGATAATCTTCTTCAATAAAATTTGCGATGAGTACTTTCAAAATAAACCAAATAATAATGATAGCTAAAAAAATTCGCAAACCGACCCTAACCCAACAAGCAGAACTTAGATAGCACGCACAAATACGAGAGAAAGGAGATTGAGTGTTAGATTATTCAAATTAAGAAGATGAACCACATTTTGTTATACATGCAGAGTATTTTTGTTCACTAAGTACTGTCTTTTTTCTGTTAATAGGGTTCATGACAATTTAGAGTCCATAAAATATTCATGTCAAAAGTAGGTCAAACCATGGTCAACCATTCGACCTGATCTCTTAAGGACTGCAAATAGGTCAAACTGACGTCAAAATGACCTCCTTTTGACCTTCTGGTCTCCTTGGGTCTAATACCCATATTTACAGAATTTTGTTGTTATTCATTACCGCTATCCATATCAGACAAGTTACCGCTGCCGCTTTCTCCTTCTCCTCCTCACAGTGCCATAAATATAGTGTAGCATACACTTAACAACTAATGGTCAGGTTATTAAACTATGCGATCGTGGCGATTAATAATTTTTTTAATGCAGAGTCCTTTTATTATTTACGGATTCACCTTGCTCTAATTAGCTACGGTTTCTAGAAATGTTCAGTAGAGTCTAAGGAAGAAAGAGCTTTTGAGTAGTGGTGAATGGGAAAGAAGGGGGTGAGGGCGATAAGTGTGGCGGCCGAGCCGAGCTCCAAACTGCGATACGAGCCGAGCGCCGGAAGAGCCTAGCCGGGCGGGGGGAGGAAGAAGGGAGGGGGGAAGAGGCTGATGCGTGCCGCGTAGCTGTGGCACGGCGGTCGGGCCAACACCAGGCCCCCTGTCTATATCTTCTACTGGTGACGTCACGCTTTGTGTCTCTCTGCACGCCGCTGCACGACAGTACAAGCAATGACACATTTGACAAATCATTCTTATTAATTTCAGTATGTGAAATGTTTAAATGTATCATCCGCTAAAAACTTTTAAAAGTCAGTCCGTGACGCGTGGACACGCCCAATAGTTTCCTGGCCTTAAATTTAGAGTAATTAGTCCCCGACAAATGCTGTCAGTATGTCAAATTTTGGTGCCGGAAGACCCTGTACCTGCATACCTTTCTATTAACTCGCCTCGGGTGTCAGCGCCGTAGGCCTAGCTATATGTGCGCCAGGCACGTCGCAGCGTAACAGTGTTTCGTGAGATATCGCGAAGCCTGTTACGCGAGACGTGGTCTGGCGTACATATAGCTAGTATATCATATAAGCACCTCATAACGTTTTGTTTACCTTTAACCGAGGGGTCTACAACTCGCCTCAGCCGTGTACTTTTGAGTATAGATTATAAGGATTGTAGCGTGATGATGAGATTATAAGAAAGATTATAACAATGATTAATAGATTGTAAGAATGATTATGAGATTATGAAATGATTATAGGATTACAAAAAGATTATAGATAGATTATTAAGATCATAATAAATGTAGAATGACAACAAGATGAGGAAGAAGAGGGAATACCACTTTCCGGTACTTAAAACTTCATGATTACCTAATTAACCCAAGATTTCGGATCTGGTAACCGATTTTGTATTTTGTCTCGAAAATAAAGGGTATTCATGAAGTATGATCCCACTCCAATTTAGGACTCTTTTGCTCAAACGGTTTAGGAAGTACAAATACCAAAAATTTTGAGGCAAAAACTGCGTGTTTGGGAGGGGGTGTGCATAAAACTGTCTGAATCCTTGAAGTGAGGTCAAAACTGACTACACCATTGGAAAGAGATTTGAAAACTGATTCAAAACCAACTATGCTGCTAAAAGTTGGTTTTTTGTTTCCTACCCCTCGATCAAATATAAAAAAAAAATTAGCAGAATGCCGTAGCTCTCATGACCAAAATATACTTCCATTGTCACCAAATATGGTTTGCAGCTTCGCTCCCTTAACATTCTCTGATTTTTAAAGAAAGATAATACTTAAATTTTAGACAAATACTTTTTTCATAGTATTAAACAAAAAGAAACAAGTAATTTTTTTTTTTTTTTTTTTGGAAAATTTGAATATTTTCTCTCTTCAAAATTAGAGAATGTTAAGGGACCTTAGGGGAGGTTGCAAACCAAGTTTGGTGACAATTTAACACTATCTAGTTTTGTTATGAGAGTTACGATATTCTGCTAAAATGTTTTGATATATTTGATCGAAGGGTAGGAAGCAAAGATCCAATCTTTAGCTATGGTTGGTTTTGAATCAGTTTTCAATTCTCTTTCCAATGGTGTAGTCAGTTTTGTTTTTAGTGCAGAGATTCATAGAGTATTACCTATACCCCCTCTTTTTGCCTCAAAATTTTAGGTATTTATATCTCGTTAACCGTTTGAGACACAGAGCAAAGATTTGGAGTGGGATCATACTTCTAGAGTACCCTTCATTTTCGAGTCAAAACCCAAAATCGGTTACCAAATTCGTAACTTTTGGTGGATTAGGGAAAGAACTTATCTTATACACTCGGTCAGACTTGTCCACAGCATCGCTTCCAGCTCCCCAGATAGTTCTCTTTCTTCATTTACTAGTGATATTTTGACTTTGTGACGTTATTTCATACAAAAATGTTACTGATTATACAAAAGATTATAAAGAAGTTATAAGATTATAGAATAAGTATAGATTATAGATAAAGATTATAGCAGATTATGGATTATAGACGTGATTCTAAGTGATTATAGGGTGGTGTACTTTTGATTATACGAGTTGTAGACCCGTCGCCTTAAACATTCGACCTGATAACCGGTAACGCCAAGCATGACATGTAACAGATACAAAAATAACACATAACTTTAAAAAAAGCGTTATGGATTAAACAAATATTACCTTGATAAGGTTATGCATTTTTCGTGCCCGTGCGATAAGTGCCACTAAATTAATAATAATAATTTTCAACGTTAAAGGAATTGATTACATCTGTAACGTTAAGAGAAAAACAAATTACTTATCGTTTACACATCTGAACTTAAATTTAATTTTTTTGCGATTTTGTTGCATTATTTAACAATCTCATCATGTTTGGCATGCTAAGTCACGAGCCTTTGCTGATATTTTGAATTGATTCTGCCACCAACGGCTGCGAAGACATATAGATGTTCGCAACGATTGACTAGTGACCAACCCTTGCCCGTCTATACGCCCCGCGCCCGCGCCTCCTCTAGGGTATGCTTCTCTGCACCGAGTGTTGCCGGCAACACGCGATACCATGCTACGTTAGTCCTGGCCGCCGGGTCGCTTGACTGCAGCGTGCTCCTGAGCTGAGTGCCTCATGCATGAGTGGTGCGCCTCATAAATTGCTGATGACTGACGCCACGCAATGCTTTTACGCAGAGAATATTGTTGCCTGTACACGCACTGCCAGTATACTTCCCTGCAACGCTGCGTCGACTACCTAGTTCAGCCGAGCTGAGCACACATCGCACGACAACTCTGTCAAACACTTCCGGGTCATTGCATACTGCGGTTATCACGATTTCGGGTCTCAGCGACGCAAAAAAGAAATATAACAAGCAGGCCCGCCCTACCGCCAAACGGAGTTGCCAGCTCCGCTTCGCTGCGCCGGCAACTCCGTTCGGCAGGGGCCGGGCCTGCTTGGCCTGCCGGCGGCCTACGGCCCGACCGTTTCATTTACGCAATTTTCTAAAGAACATGATCAAATAATGTAGCGGGCCTTCGGAACACCAAAACCCGTCATCTTTGAGTTTGCCCCAAAGACTCAAGAAAGGGATGTAACGGTGAAGCACCGCGACTGCAACCCACCCTTCTGCTAAGGAAACGTTTTTTGGGGTGGGGGGAGGGAGTTTCTTACCTCTTTTGCGGTTTTGGGCATTCTTTTACATTTTATTGTTCACTACAGCAATTTTTCACTTATTTTCGTCAAACAAGACCCTCTAGAGCCTAAACGGTTAGAGATAGAGCCAAACGGACGACATTTTCGCCCTACGGACTCTACTTTGACAAGTTACCCCTTAGGAGACCATCTATTATTTTCTAAAATTAATATGTTTATTTTTGGGCCACTTTCGTGATAGAAACTCCCTCTAGCGCCCAAACGGTGAGAGATAGAGCAAAACGGACAAAATTTTCGGTCGTAGGACTCTACTGTCACGAGTTACCTCTAAGGAGATCATAAAAAGATAGTTTTTTGTGACTTTTTTGACCTACCTTATTTTCATTGATACCCCCTTTTAGCCCTTTAGGGGTGGTTGCCAGGATTTGCCGTAGGCGTTTCGTTTTCTAGAAGTGGACCTTAAGATTCCCTGAAAATTTTCAAGTCTCTAGCACATCTCCTTCTAGTGGAACAGACAGACAGACACACAGACAGACAGACACACACGAGGTCGTTTGCATAAGCCCGCTGAATAGCTTTTTCAAAGCAGAAGG